GTCTCTGAACACGTCCTACCTGGTGAAGAAAGCCCAGCAAAGGCTTTTCTTCTTCAGGAAGCTGAAACGCACTGGTCTCTCCTCTCAGCTGCTCGCAAACTTCTACAGAGCGACAGTAGTAGAGAGCATCCTCTGTCTCAGTGTGGTACAGGAGCTGCACTGCACAGGACAGAAAGGACTTGACCTGGGTGGTGAGAACAGCTCAGGGCATCGTAGGGAGTCCTCTTCTGGATCTGGACTCACTATACACTGACCGGATCCAGAGGAGGGCCAGAGGGATTGCTGCAGACCCCACCCACCCAGGCAACAGTCTGTTTGTGCCTCTTCCCTCCAGGAAAAGGTACAGGAATATAAAGACTAAAACAAACAGACTGAGACACAGCTTCTTCCCCAGAGCTGTGAAATCAATCACCCTCCCTAACCCCTAGTATCACACAACCTCCCCCCACCCCCCACAGACAAGACACAGGCACAACACTGGATTCCTGCAGATGCACACACATGCTCACACCTCTTCTTAAAGACTGAGATTTGCACTGAGCTGCACTTTAGAATGTGACTATATTCTTCTGCTGCTAATATGCTGTTGACCTGATTAGGTCCCATATATTTTCATCTGTTCATATTTTTATATTGACTAGTACAATTTTTATGTTATTTATGTAAATAATGTGTCTTTTAAGCTAAGAGCTGCCGGAAGAAATTTTGTTGTGCTATGCATAATGACAATAAAGATTCTTGACTTGACTTGACTTGAAATGTTTTGTCTTGCGGTCCATAGCAGTAGTGCTGCCATACCAGACAGTGATGCAGCTGGTCAAGATGCTCTCAATGATGCAGCTGCAGAAGTTGCAAAGGATCCTAGGCGACATGCCAAACCTCCTCAGCCTCCTCAGGAAGTACAGCCACCGTTGGGCCTTCTTGACCAGCTGTTTGGTGTTAAGTGTCCAAGTGATGTGGACGCCCAGGTATTTGAAGCTGCTCACCCTCTCCACCTCAAGCCCCCGGATGAACAGTGGCTGATGAGATCTCCTCTCCTTCCTCATGTCTACTATCATCTCCTTCATCTTGTCTGTGTTGAGGCTGAGATTATTGTCCTTGCACCATGACACCAGACCAGCCACCTCCCTCCTGTAGGCTGCTTCGTCCCCGCTAGTGATGTGACCTATCACTGTGGTGTCATCCGCAAACTTCAAGATGATGTTATCCATGACACCAGAGCAGTACTTCCGTATTGATACCAACCTGTGCTATGAGCTACCCATAATGGCTATAAGTAAGCAGCTACAGTAGTTTTCCTTTCAGCAAACAGCAAATGTACCACTGAACTTTTTCACAGTATAAAATCTTTCTCCAGCAGCCAGACAAACAGTATGTCAAACTTTGGTTCAATTTCAGTTCACTTTCATTATTCTCCAGTCTCTTTGGAGTGCAGTACAGTCAGTGAACCTCTCTCTCCGCCCACTCTATCTCTATCTCTGGATATACTCTAGTCCCCAGGGAGTTGCAGTATTACACTATATTCTGAGTGTTATGCTTGAAAAGAAAGAAGCATAACTCAGTCTTGGCACTGTTGATCTTTTAGAGATGGGCAGCAACAACAAATAAAACAGACACTGGATTAGAACTGTTTACATCAGAAAAGACTGAAGGTGGAAGAACGCTGAAGTGCTGGTAAGAGCTGACAGTTATTGCAGTCCCACAGACAAGCACCCAGACCAGTGAAAGTTTAGGATGTTTCTTGTGCTTCTACGCTGTTAGGAACATCGACAAAGTGCCAAAGTTTGGTGAGAGCCATAAATAAGCACCCAAAAGACAAAACAATGTCTTGTGTATAGAATATAGAAAAGAGAAAGTAAGTGTGTTATCTTCAAACACATCAAGAGTGAAATGTTAATGTTCCTGATGCATGCATGTTCGAAACAATAGAACACTTTATCACTTTATTGTTTCAAATACATCAATATTTTTTTTACAGAGCTTAACATAGCATTTCTTTTTGCTGTGAAATGTTTTCCTCTGTTTCTTTACAGAGTGAAACGGCATCTCTAACTAATTTGTGGAGAAAAATGTTTAAAGAAAAAAACGGCGGGTAAATATAATAAAACACGCCCATCACAGTCCAAAGCACAAAAATTTTCACTCTCTAATCATATACAGAAGAAAAACGTGAAATTATCACATTTAAGAAACTGTGAATACTTATTTTAACCTGAAAAATAATGAGGTGATTAACTTTCTGTTGACCAACTAATCATTTCAGCAATAATGATTTCTATAAAAAAAAAAAAAAAATACAACTGAATCACTCAGTCTACAAGAGCAGCTCTAAGACCCAACTAATGTCTGGAATTAAAGTCTTGTCCCTCAGTGAGGACTCACCAGTGTGACCAGCTGAAGACGGTGGGTGGAGGTGGAGCTGCACCACCTGCTGGTCAGTCTGGGTATCCATCATGAGGAGGCTTCCTGGCTGGACTCGTTCATAAGATGCCACCTCCAAAACTTGTGCCTAAGGAATGTTTAGTAATAATTAATGTTTGTATACTACAACTATAAAAAGTTAACCGTATCCAAACTGTAGTTATTTACAAGATATCATGTAAAGTTTCACTGAGGTGAAATACTGTGTGACTGTTTCTCAACATCTGGTCTAGATTCAAACACACTGCTGTGTATTTTCTGTATTAATTTCCATGGTTATGGGAGAAAATAGCGCTGTTACTCAGTGGACTACAGTTCCATCTTCCAGTAAATACAACACTGAAATACACAGAAGAAGTACTGGTTTAAACAGTTGAATTTCATACCTGTCCATGATGTTCAGCATCTGTAAAAGTCTGAACGAACACACAACATGGATGGCGAGCATCTCTTTACTGCAACTGGACCCAAAGAATTATTCTCTGGATCATTCAAACTCTAGTGTTCAACACCCCACTGACTCCAGTAGAAAATACAGCTGTGCCACTAATATAACAATCTAGATATACAATCATTTACATGGGGTTTGAGCATTACCTATTTGCTCTGTTCTGGACATAAACATCAATTTTAAGTCATCTTGAGCTAACTATATTCCAAGTAAATAAACTGGTTCCAGCACACAGTGATAATTTTATCCATCACAGTACCTTTCTGCTGCCTAAAGGGCCAGAGGTCGTGGTCTGCATCTCACTGGACAGGGCAGAGTTATCAGTTCAGGAACACCTGTTCACTCCCATAAGAGTAAAATAATTATGCTTTTTATGACTTGTGAAGCTAAGTGGGCCAACACGTCACAATGAAAACAAAGTATTACTGTAAATAATGTACCTCTCCATTCACTTTAAGGTCACAACAAAACCCAACAAACTTAAGAAAATGCAGCATTTAATGAGGACACTGTCACAGTTACAGACGAGTTACAGCAAACAGTCTAGTAATAAATGGTTTATGAGTGAAAGCTGTCCCAGGCAATCTATCAAACATATATATATTGTTCTATCCTTGTGCTATGACACCGAAGTGTTGACTAAAGTCCCTTCTAAGATTCATTCAGGTCTTCATATAAGCATAATATTATGCTATGAAAATTTACAGTCAACATAAATAGTCCATTTTGCGGTATCTCCTAACAGAAGATGAGCTGCTGTGTCAAAAGACGTGGATGTTCTCCTTTAGTTCCTGGTTTAGTGCTATAAAAAGTAGATAGCTTGGACTTTCCTAAATAAACTGTTTTTAAATTTGCACCCAAAAGCAGACAGGGTGATTTAGGAACTGCAGTTAAATGTACAATGTGTACAATTGTAAAAGAAGGAATGAATTTGTGTAGTGATGATAGGGTTTGACCACAAAAAAGGGATGCTTGGTTTGATGTAAGGCATCTCCATGTTAAGGGTCCATGCTGGATACTGACTGCAACCAGGCCAGGGAATCGAACCCCAACCGGCTGTACCAAATACAGTGGTGTTGACCACAAAACTATCCAGCTGCTGGAAAGCACACATTTAGAACAGTTTCTGGTTTCAGTTTCTCACATCATTGTCACACAAGGTTGAGATTGCACAAGGATCTAAATCACACTTGTGCAGATCTAATAAATATCTATTTCAGTAGACTTCTTACAGTGGTGGGGCCGTACAGATTCTGTATTAATCTGTATTCACCCTTTCATTTCAGAGTAGAGCAGTCAGGTATCGCCCTGGTTGTAATTTGGGCCACATTCATATCCTGGCGCGTACCTGTCTGTGTGTATGTGCGCGCATCAGGGTGGAACTCCGCCGTGCGCAATACAGAAAGCAGAGGAAAATTGTAAACCCGTGACCATGTAGAGACAGAAATGACATGCCATCATGTAAATAAGATAAATAACATAAGGCTACTTAGTTTGTTTAATAAAAGAACAAGGTATAGACCTGTTCTATAGGAAAGGTAACCTTAAATGACTTCTGTTGTGATCTTGAGCTATATAGAAAATAAAATTAAATAAAATTAAATTTACCTTCTGGGGGGCTAATATAACAGTAGGGGAAATACTGCTCTCTTATGCTGATTTGGACTGTGAGTAACTGAATCATAAATTTCAGTGCCAACATTTTGGAAATTTTTAATGACAAATTTGGGTGCACTGACCCTTTTATGGTCAGCTGGTGTTGGCTTCAGCCCCCTGTGACCCTCATTAGCATGAGCAGTATAGATAATGAATGGAAGGATGGATGGCCCTTTTATGTTTTCATATACCAAAACTCCTGAAACCCCCTTTGCCCACCATGAGCAGGACTCTTAGAGCTAGGATCATATTGTTTTATTTCAGTAGTTAACTCATTAAGACATGTTAGTATGAGTGCTGCTTCCTTTTTAATTTTTAAAACACATGGTCAACCAATATTAATGTGAAATGCTAACAGCTGCATTGAAATAACTGCTTACAGTTTGCTGGCTCAGGTTCAGC